TTGTTGCTCTTTCCTCGCCTCTCCTGTGAGGAGGGACACATATAAAATTGTTCTCACTTTGGTTCTGGGTATTATTTCCTGAAACTTCTCTTCAACAACCCTAAAGGGACTTCTCTGTCAGGTTAACCAATTATTTCCACACAGTTGATCACAAGCCTAGGAAATACCCTCCTCACCAAAAGCTTGAATAGCCGCGTCTGCGGTCATGAAGTGCTTTTCTTTAAATGTTTCTCTGTAACTCACAGCAAAATGTTTGCACATGTCCTAGTAGTTCCCATACTTAGATTTCATAGGAGAATGGAAAACTCCCTGAAAATGTGGAGACTAAAATGAAATGATCAATTTTAAATTTTGTCAAATAAGAACATTTACAAAATTGAAAACTAATAATCTCATAAAAGGTAATCTTAACACGCTGAAAGTAAGAAGGTACACTCACAATAAAGTTTCCTCCACATTTTCAATTGTTTAAATATGTTGAAGAGTTGTGCCCAAGTAATTTCCCACCTGTGCAAATTTTTCAGCAGCCTGGGGCTGGTAGCAAGCTGTTGTTTAATAACAACAGTATGCATTATGATCAGTTGCTGTCACTTCCTCTTGTAAATTGACAGAATTCCATCATGTCTTCCTTAAAAAATAGACATCTAATAAGCAACTACATCTGAATTAATATAACACAAGATAACTTAACTCTTGAAATACATACCTTGGGTTTCTAAAATATTCAAGAAACAGCTGTGTTGTTTATTGAAGTAGTCCTCACGTGATTATTTTGAGGACTACTTACCCAGGGAGCTACTCATTGCCTTACTCAGCAAATGATCGCCACCAGTACATGAGTAGGTATTCAAAACTGTTGAGCAGGTTTCAGGTATTAATGATTCATTCATTCATATGGATAATTAAGCAAGTTGTGTTATGAAAAGCACATTACAAATCAGCTTTGAATTCAGTGCCTCATATGATGATTCATTAAATTGCTTTTGTATTTTGTTACCTAATTAATAAGTTTATGCAAAACCAATTAAGCCATCTGCTGATCTATATAGTTCTACTTTCCTTACATAGTCTTCCTTTAGAAATGTGCTTTCGAATTCTTCTGCAAAGAGAGTTTTACTCTTTCAAAACTGTTGTTCAACAGGGTTCTTAAATTACTAAATTATGGTGGATATTTTATTTACTAGTGACCATAAGCATCTAACTGGTTGCACTTCATTCATTTAGACTGCAGTTGTGGTAGCATCACCAATTTGGAGAAGACCAGGAGAGATGTACTAGTAACACACATGTACTTTATTCAGAAATAAATGCCTCAGGTCCCCATGTTCACAGTCTTCTTTTTCTTACATCACACCTGATTCTAACATGTTTGGTTGTCTGATTTCTGCTGAACAAATCACAAGTATCTACAGGGTCCTGTGAGAGGTAGGGAAACAATAAAACGTGACAGCTGACTGCAGGGGAGGAGGAAACCAAAGAATTAATGTGAAAAGCCTGGCACCTCAAGGCCATTTAATAGAGGATCCTGCACATCACAGTCCCATCAGAATATACAAGTCATATTTGATGATGAATTTGAATCAAAAGTACTATTTGATGTTTAAAATATGTTTATTTTAGAAAGGAAAGGAGAGGGAGGGAAACAGAGGGGGAGAGAAAACATTGATCTGAGAAACACCAACTTGTTGCCTCCTGTACATACTGCAAGTGGGGGTTGAACCCACAACCTGGTATGTGCCCTGACCAGGAATTGAACCGGTGACCTTTTGGTGCACAAGATGATACTCAACCAACAGAGCCACACTGGCCAGGTCAATACTATATGACATTAAGCAGGTAGGATATGTGTTGTATTTGATGATTCCAGTTTCCACTTGAAATAGTTAAAAGCTCAGTGCTTAAAGTGGTACATCCTGGCCCTAGCTGGTTTGGTTCAGTGGTTAGAGTGTCCGCCTGCAGACTTGAAGGGTCCTGGGTTTGATTCTGGCCAAGGGCACATGTCTGGGTTGCAGCCCTCAGTGGGGGGGAGGGAGGGATGCAGGAGGTAGCCAATCAATGATTCTCATCATTAATGTTTCTATTTCTCCCTCTCCCTTCCTCTCTGAAATCAATAAAAATATAATAAAAAAATAAAGTGGTATATCCTGTCTGAAAATTTGTGCAGGAAATAGCTTGACTCATTCTTTGATATTTGGAGGCTTATCATAGGAAGTTTTTCCATTCAACTGAAACATTTTTCATTTCATGACTAATTCATTACAAAATTTAATTTGTTAAAGTATGAGGAAAACTAAATAAAGGAATGGTGCTTTAAACCACATGAATTGTGTTAGGTGACCTCCCCCTCAGAGAGGGTTATAGTCACGTTTAAAAACCATTCAGCAGCAGTTCACTGACTGCCTCACGGCCTGGCTGGCCCTTTGCACAGCGGCTGGAATGCTGAGGCTTCCATGGCTGTTCTTTGGTTGGTTTGTTTATTGTCTGAGCTGTGCTGCATCATCGGAGGTTGGGCTTTAGTTTGTCAGAAAAGTCTTTTATTGGCAGCTCACTTTATTTTATCATGTTCACATGGTCTACTTTTAACTTTTGCTCCGGTTTCATACAGTCATGTAGCAAACATTTTAATATAAAAACTAGGCAGTCCATATTAGGTGCTGTATCAGCAATTGTATTAGTCAATTTTGTTATGGTCTTGAAAGACACTGAAAATCTGTTAGAGGCATATTTATGTCTTTCAGTCAGAGGACATCACTCTCCTTTGGTTTCAATGCTGATTGTTTGCTTCAAAATATACTAGTATCTGTGACTCTATTCTCAGAGCTCAAACAGATCAGCCACAATGTTAACAAATTCCTGATCTCTGCTATAAGGCTGTAATTTTCCAAAATAATGTAGAAAAGAGGAAACGGGTAATAAATTGCATAATTACAGAGATGAACCCTGTACTTGTGAGAAAATAAAACTGTCAACAATTTACTAAATTTTTAAATTTCCTGTAATTTTTATTAATATTCACCATGCATTCCTCTGCACTGTCACATTAAAGATAGGCATCTCTAACATCCATTCAACAAATTTAAGAAACTCAAAACCTAGAAATACAGAGTTTTTAACTATATCGAATGCTGTCAAAAAGTGAAATAAGATGAAAATAGAAAAATGTTCACTTTAAAATGCTGTGTGCAACTGCAAAGCAACACATCGGAAAATCTAGAGAAAATGCATAATTTCCTAAAAAAACAAAGAATGAAAAGTAACCCAAAGTGAAATTTAAAATGTTAATAAAGCAATACCAAGTAAGAATGGAAAAATGATTTTTTAAAATCCATAATTTAAAAAGTACTAGGGCCCTGACTGGTTTGGCTCAGTGGATAGAGTGTCGGCCTGCGGACTGAAGGGTCCCAGGTTCGATTCCGGTCAGGGGCATGTACCTTGGTTGCGGGCACATGCCCAGTGGGGAGTGTGCAGGAGGCAGCTGATCGATGTTTCTAACTCTCTATCCCTCTCCCTTCCTCTCTATAAAAAAATCAATAAAATATATTTTAAAAAAAAAGTACTAGGGTTGCAAGAAAGATAATTCCAATGTCATTTAAATCTCAGTATTTTTAAAAGGGAAAACACTTCCCAGTTTTTTCATTTGGCTAGTGTAACATTCATATAAAAAGCTGATAAACACAAGACAACACTTCCCCCCAGAGCAATGCCACTTAATACACATGGATGAAATACTAAATAAAATTGTGGCACTGTAAAACAAACAATAAAAGTCTAATACATGATGGGAAAGAGGATTGTCTTCCAAGAATTCAAGTGTTTTGATCACTCTTTAATCCCTGCTACCACCACCCACTATACCAATGGTTCGCAACCTTGGCTGCACATTAGAATCCCCTGGGAATCTTTTTAAAATCCTGATTTCTGGGCCTCATCCTCCGGAAATTCTGTTTGTTTGTTACTAATGTTGTGGCCCCACCCCATAACAAACAGAATTTCCAGAGGATGAGGCCCAGAAATCAGGATTTTAAAAAGATTCCCAGGGGATTCTAATGTGCAGCCAAGGTTGAGAACCACTGGACAATACCATCCTAAATCTCAAAAATGCCTTTTTCTCTATTCCCCTTGCAAAATACTCCCAAAACCCACTTGCTTTCACATGAAAATCAATAAAATATATTTTAAAAAAAAAGTACTAGGGTTGCAAGAAAGATAATTCCAATGTCATTTAAATCTCAGTATTTTTAAAAGAGAATTACATACCTGTTTTCAAGACTGACTGTAAAGAGACACTCATCAAGACAACATGGTATTACAAAAGGATTAACACAAATCAGTGGAAGTGAACAGAGGCCAGAAACAGAGCCACACAGAGTTTACTAGTTGGTGTCCCTCAGAGTGCCAAGGCGATGCCGTGTGGAAAGTATATTCTTGTCAACAAATGGGCTGACAGGTGGGTATGCAAGGTGGAGGGGATAGACACGGCAAGTGTATGTTCCTCTACTCCAGTGGTTCT